GGCGAGGAGGGGGCTGCTGCAGCTGCAGCCCTTTCACACGCACAGTTCAAGGTGCTCAGCGACTACCTGCGCCAGCGGGCCCAGACAGCGGCGTGCACTTCGATCGCCTTTTCTACGTGGGCGACGCGCCAATGACTTCTGCCCCATGGGATGGCTGGCCAGAGGCGACGTGATCCAGGAGGCGCGGAAGGCCGAGCCCAGCTCGTTCCGTCCCGTGGTGTCGTGGGAACCGCCCACGATGTGCGCTTCCAGACCGCTGACTGCAGGGGGCGCCCCGACGAGGAATGGGGAAGGGAGATTGGGAAAGACAATCTCGTTTTATAACTTCCTTTCCCTTTCGCGTTGTTATGTCCCTCTGGAAATTTCTAGAATTCCCCGTCCAATCAGGGGCTAAAGGAGGGAGTCCAGGGCCATCCGAACTATCTATGCAGTTAAACCAGCTCGGCTGCCTCCCTCAGATCCACAGCAAACAGTTAAAAATTCTGGAGTCTGGCTCAACCCGGGTAATGCGCATACCTGGGAAGGCAGCAGTGTTTCCTAAAAGCTCGCCCTCTGAACTGGGAGGAAGAGATTCCCTTGCAGGCGAGAGAACTTCAACTGCTGCCCGGGTGTAACTTCCCCTCTCCAAGGCTTAGGTCAAGGAGAAATCCTCCCGCATTGGATTCCCCGCAGAAAGAGAGGAAGCTTTCCACCGACAGCCCCAGGCCTAGATCTCGCTTCACCTACCGTGATCCCACCCTACATCCCTTTTCTTGCCTCCCTTCCCCTGCCCATCCGACAGCAACCCCAAAGGAAGAAAAGCCAGATGGAACAGTCGTCTCCTGGTGGTGGAACGAGGTAGCACACTGTCGGGCTTGGGTCGGACCAGCCAGGAAGCTCGCAGAGGCGCCTCAGTGTCTTCTATCCCAGCCTCCTCTATGCAGCAAGACCAGGAACTTAACCAAAGTCATCCCCGTAGGCTGGGCCCTCTTGGGCTCCCTCCTCTCATATGGAACAGAAAGCCCTGATGTTTTAAAGCAGAGCCAGCGAAACCCAAGCCCATCCTCTTTGGTGTTTTAGAGCTATTAAAACCGGATGAAGGGGGAAAAAACACAAAACGGGGACCCTTGGGCTGATGCTCTAACCACTGAACCAAACCATCCAGGGCAAGCTCCCACTTTTATAGATAATGTATTTCTTCTTGGCACCTATACAGAATATAATCTTTTTGTATTATGGGCTGAGTCACCCCTTTATATCTCCCAAGGTTAGATATAAAACATGGCCATTTAACTAATCTATATTTATAAAAGCCAAGCGCCTGGAATGACCAGTGGCTATGCCGTGCACTGTGGCAGCCAACTGGCCAGATCAGAGCCCCAATTGCCGCCCCCCCCCAACTTATTGCCCTGCCCCCAATTGGCCCCCATTGGGGCGGGCCAGCCGGACCCCACCAGAGCACAAATTCATGCACTGGTCCTCTAGTCATTAAAGAAAAAATCTATTTTAGCTGTAAGAATAAGAGTGGCTATTTTATTCTTTCTCTAGTTCCTATTTCTTTTTCCTCCTTATCTGATTTCCAAATATTCAACCATAATTTTGTTACATTTTGCTTTATTATTCTAACAACATTAGATATTCTCTAGACTGCAGCTTTCAAGCTCCCTACAGAAGGGTAATGTTTGTTTATATCTGAGAATAATAAAAATGACAAACCAGAATCACATTTATTTGGTCTTGCTATGGAACAGAACATAGTAACTACACCTAAGTGGATGGAGTAAGAAATTGGGCTTTGGGGGCTGAATAAAAAAGTTTACTCTGCCCAGCCAGTGTGGCTCAGTGGTTGAGTATCAACCCATGAACCAGAGGTCACCAGCTTGATTCCCTACCAGGGTACATACCCAGGTTGAGGGCTTGATCCCCAGTAGAGGTGTGCAGGAGGCAGCCAATGGCTGTTTATCTCTCATCGATGTTTCTATCTCTCTATCCCTCTCCCTCCCTCTCTCTCTAAAATCAATAAAAACAGTTTTTTAAAAAAGATTGGGGGGTAGGGGAAGGTCTATTCCTCCAAGCAATGTGTAAGTACAGCATCAAAAGTGCACGGAACCCTGGCACAGTTGGTTGAGCGTCATCCCAATGCACCAAGGTTCCAATGTGGATCCCCGGTCAGGGAGCTTACAGGAGGCATCCAATCGATATTTCTCTCTCACATCGATGTTTCTCTCTCTCCCTCTCTCTAAATCAATAAAAACATATCCTTGGGTGAGGATTAAATAAAAATGTACACAGAGCCCTGGCCAGGTAGCTCAGTTGGTTAGAGTGTCATCCCGATACGCCAAAATTGCCAGTTTGATCCCTGGTCAAGGCACATAGAAGCAGCAACCAATGAATGCCTCAGAATTGTACCCTTAAAAACGTTTAAAATGATAAATTATAAGTTATGAGTATTTTACCACAATAAGTTTGCTAAGTAGCTTCACATTCCTAAACCAGTAAAAGATTATGTTTTGATGGTCTGAACATTTTCATTTAAATTTTTTAAATGTCCAATATAAACGAGCAAAATACTCATTTTTCAATTTGCTTTTAACTTAAAAGAAAGATCAACCTTCTTTTACAGGAAGCCTAACAATTTTTCAAATCGAGAGAATTCCAATTTAAATAGTTAGCAAGAGGAGTGAAAGAAGACAAGAAATTACAAAACAAAACACACAAAAAAACCTTGTTTAGGTGTTTCCTCCTCCTTTTTAGTCTCTTCATCATCTAAGCTGGGACTGTCCCGGGAAGAGCTGTCCTGTTGGCTGGAGTTTTTCAATAGTACAGGATCAATTTGTGCTTTCAGGAGTGCAAGAGTCTCAGCCAACTCGTTTCGATTTCTAAACAGGGGAAAAAATAAGGCAACATAAAAATCTTTCTTCTATTCTAAAGAATTTTCAGAATAATACATATTAGAAATTAAAATTTAAAAACAAAAACACTTTAAGAACAACCAAATCACTAGTACAAGCTAAACTGAATTAACTTTGAATTTTAAAATTAAGTATTAGAAATGAAAACATATTAAAATACACTAGTTTCCAAAAAGTAATCTTAAGACTATTCTCTGTATTTATTAGAATGGCAATGCAAATCTCTGGCTGAAAAGAACAGCTAGGAAGAAATTAGGCAAAAATCAAAGTCTGATAATTTTTTAAAGTACTATGCAATACAAAAATAAATGTAAAACTTGCTTGAAGAAGCATTTCTTTTAATAGAATAATTCAAGTTCTTGATTCATTTGAAAAAAGACCTATTTTCCACCAACAGAGAGAATAACATTTGATATTGTTACAAAATTATGATCCAAGACTTTCTGAGTAATTATGGCAAAAAGTCAGCTGTAATAACACAGTTCAAAAACCTAAGAATTTGGGTTACTGATGTTGTTTTGTCAATTACAGTTTGCAGCTACAGGAAAGGGAATTCATTTTGAATCAAAGATACAGGAAAATATCAAATAAATATGATTTTAACCTATATATTTTCTACTTTTACTATCAAAACCAGAGATCTGATATGCTCAATTTAAATGCTATGTTCAAACAAGAAACTTTAGTTGGATATTTTTCCTGCTCAGATAAACACTATGTAACAGTGAAGATAAAAAGGAAACCCTGGACTAAGAGTTGGGACACTTAGTTCTATTTCTGCCACTAAGTTAACTCATCAGCACCAAGAGCTTCCCATCTGTGTTCTCAAAGGTCTCTGTATGCAAATCTAAATCTATGTACAGACAGTCCTCGCATTATGTCAGACTCGAAGTTTCGTGGTTACGTTGCCATCTCCCATTTATTTATATAAAAAAAAAGTTCCGTCATTTCGATGTATGTACATATGTGCTTTATGATTTTCATTATTTATTTACCACAAGTAAGGTCAGGAATTGTTATCTTTCTTTTAAATTTTTTTTACTGTTTCACTTCATTACTGCTGTGTATGTGCTCCATGTGAGTGACGTAGGTGCTTATGTGGGTGGTTTCTGACTTATGGTGAAAATCGCGTTACTCTGTGCCGTAGGAACAGATCTCCGACTTAAACTGAGGACCTACCGTAATTAGTATTAAGTTGAAATTACTTGTTTTCTTATCTGTCATGACACATACGCCCTCTATCCTCCTATCCCTTCAACCTCCATTCCAGCTAAACTCTACTCCTTGAGAGCAATGACACTGCCTCATGAAGCAGGAGTTAAAAAATGTTTAATCATACTATCTAATAAAGAGGGAATTGCAAATTGACCATCACACTGCCACAAAGATGTCGGCGACCATAACCACAAGATGGCAGCGCCCAGTCCCTTCAGTCCCACTGGAGTCCCCCACTCCTTTCAGCCCCGCTGCTGAGAGCAGACAGTGTGGCATGGCCCCCAGGCCCAGCAGACAGAGAGCGGACAGCGGGGTGTGGGGGCTTCGTTTGTGTGGCGGCAATGCTCCCAGGCCCGGCAGACAGAGAGTGGACAACGGGGAGGGGGTGTAAGCCATCACTAGGGCATCCCCTGACAGCTCCTGGATTGGAGAGGGTGCAGGTTGGGCTGAGGGACACCCAACCCCGTGCACGAATTTCATGCACCGGGCCTCTAGTATATAATAAAAGCCTAATATGCTAAGAGTCCAGTCATCCATTCAACCAATCAAAGCATAATATACTAATGATATGCTAAGGCCACACAACCGCTCGTTATGACTTGCACTGACTACCAGGGGGCAGACAGTCGATTGGTCGACCAGTTGCTATGACATGTACTGATCACCAGGGGGCAGATGCTCCGACCAGTAGGTTAGCTTGCTGCTGGTGTCCAGCTGATCAGGACTGAGAGAGATGGACCAGACATGTCCTGGAGCCCTCCCGTGGTCCCTCCCCAGCTGGCCAACCTCCCACATCCCTATTCGGCCCAGATCGTATACTGGTGGGGTCCCTCGGCCTGGCATGTGCCCTTTCACAATCTGGGATCCTTCGGGGGATATCAGAGAGCTGGTTTTGGCCCGATCCCACAGGCCAGGCCGAGGGTCCCCACTGGTGCATGAATTCGTGCACCGGGCCTCTAGTAACTGAATAAAATCCCTGTTCCAAAACTATATGGCTGTGTGCCCTAGACAGCTCATCTATCTTCCACTAGGCCTCAGCTTCCTTACCTATAAAAGACTGTATTCTCTCAAGTATTATTAAATTGGCCTCTTAAAAAAGTAATAAAATTGAAGTGATGAATATATTTCAGAAATTAAAATGGCAACCATTCTGTCATTGTGCATGTATTATAGATATCATATGACCATATCCAATTAAACGAACAGTTTAGAATTTTAATTCTCTAATAGTAGAAGGGCAGATTAGATGCTCTTTAAAGATCTTGTCTGGTACTGCCTTCACTTTACAAAAAGGAAAATTAAAAGCTAAAGACACTAAATAAATTTATTTTTGGCAAAGTTCCTATCTCTTAACATCATTAAACCAACTGGCTTCTAACTTAAGGCTCTATCCACTTAATGTTATTACTTCTCATATTTCATTGAGAATTCCTATTACTTTTTGAGGTCACGCCGGGAACTGAAGAATATATTGAAGTTTGTTACTGTACCTATTTAAAACACTTCCAAACATTAGAAGAGAGCCAATATTGCTAGAAAATCCATGCCAATTATTTTCTCTATTCTAAGCAGCAAAGAAATTTAGCAGAAAAATTTAGTTTTCTGTACTTTCACTAAGGCCTAAAGTGGTGATGAAATACTTGTAACAAATATTATTATTCATCCATGGCAATTTTCACTTGAATATTAATTGGAACAACTGTATAATGGCTAGAGCTTAAATATTTGTGTTTTTGAAACCTATTGCAACACTTGTTTAAACCATATAAAACTGCAATAACTATGTATGGTACCAGCTGGGAAATATGGAGGGAAACTACGAAAAGTACATGACTGTCTGACCTGGACAGGGTTGCTCAATGGTTAAGCATTGGCCCTTGAACCAAAAGGTGGCAAATTCGATTCCAGGTCAAGGGCAAGTACCTGGGTTTCAGGCTCTCAACCAGTGGATGTATCTCTCTCACATTGATGTCTATCTCTGTCTCTCCCTCCCCTCCCTCCATCCCTGCCTCCCACTTTCTGAAAAGCAATGGGAAAAATATCCTCAGGTGAGAATTAACAAAAACAACAACAATAAAAAAAAAACAAAACACAAAGCTGTACACCTGAAAAAAGTAACAAAATAAAATTGGAAGAAAAAATATACAAAATTGCCATTTTTATAGGTTAAAAATCATAATCACATGGTTTAATGAATTTAACTACTTTTACTCTTTTGTAAGTAACTTACTAAATTTTGTTTAAACTTAAAATAGTTGTTTATCAGTTAACTAGAGGCCCGGCACACAAAAATTTGTGCACTTGGGGGGGGGGGGGT